ATCTTCATTTTCACAAGTTAATTATATCAAAATCTTAATTGTACTCTTATCGTCTACAATTTTTTTGACTCATATTTGAAAAATAATCAATCACTTTTCCAATAACAAGATATTTCGTGATTTATTAGAAATAAAAATCTTGTTTCAGAGCTAAAACAACCACAACTAGAAAAGTGACATATATTTAATAAAAAAGTCAAAAAATATTCTAACGAACATCTCTGTCTGCAATTAGCAAAGAATTTGAAATTGAAGTTGCATTTTTTGTTGAGTATAGCTTCTTTTGCCAATATATTTACACATTTACTTTCTATAGAACTGAGTGTATTGTAGTCAAATATTGTGTGATCTAAATTGAATTTCACCTTGTTGAACGGCAAGGTTATTTCAAAAACGCTTGTAATATTTTGTTGCTAGATGATTCTTTTTATCAAAGAAACGAAGTTTTTTGTTTGATCTTTATCAATTTCAGTTGACAAAGCAATAAAACAGATATATAGCATAGATTTTCTAAAAAACACTCGATGCCCAATAGAAAAGAGACAGTCTTACTTCCACATCTCATCTTTTTACGATATAAAAGAGAACATATTCAATATTGTATTAACAGAGAGATAATAATTCGTTTCATATTACTATAGAAACATGTTTACATCAGACTATGACATTTAACTTTCTAAAAATGTTTATCCTATAAATTTTACAAGAAGATTTTGCATAACAGTGGACAAAGGTCAGTTTGTCTTCATGGATTTTCAATGAGTTCAATATATATTTATCAAGTTTATCTAAGTTTTTACAAATTTCATAAAGTTCTCTTTTACATATTTTTTTTACCGTAGGTGAGTGTACAACTGAATATTGTGCGAGAGAAATGACTGATGTTGATGGAATAATGGAAGACATAGTTTTAAGTAGAACTGTTGTTCATAAGTTTCAATTATAAAGAATTTATTTGAGTTCAGAAAAAATTTATTTCTGTTTGTAGCTTTTCATCTGCCATTACCCGGAAATAATGGCATACAAGTTGGTGGTACTCAACCAGCATTAAATCCAGGTAAGATAATATTTTTCTAGAAATAAAGCACGTGTTGAAAATACTGCTGGTTATATTTAATAAAAACTATCGATTAATAATTTTAAGAAAATAATACAATAATTAAGAAATACTACTGGAAAAAAATTTAACTTTCATCTGAAAAGAATGAAAAATTGAAAGAAAAGAATTAATTAAGATAATAGTTTTGTTTACATTTTCAATCTCTGAAAATTATTTATTAGTAAAGATAGACTATCTTTTCATTAAAAAGACTCACTTTCATATTTGACGCCTGAAATTACTTTTTTTCTATTAAAATTCGACAAAGAATTTCATAGCAAAGTCAACCGTCATCAAATCTAGAAAAAAACAAAAAATGTGTACATCATAAGACGAAGATTTGTATTATTGTTTAGGTGGCATTCGATTCAGCCTTACAACGTGTCCAGTTTACGTACATCCAAATGCACATCCAAATGCGCATCCAAATGCACATCCAAATGC